GGTGAAGAGCGGGCGCGGGGGGCGAGGGAGGGGATCGATCTGGCGAGGGAGGGGGGGAGGGGATCAATCTAGCGAGGGGGAAAGGGATAGAGGGGGAAGGTTAGCAATGGCGCACCACCCAGGGATGCGCCATAAGTACATCCATAGCAATGGCGCACCACCGAGGAGTGCGCCATAAGTAACTTTTTTTATCTTTAAAAATATCATCAAATTTGTTATTTGAAAATATCATCAAATTTGTTATTTGAAAATATCATCAAATTTCTTTTTTTTTGGATTTTTAGTTGCATTCATTTGTGAATTGGTAAAACATTTATGAATGTGAAAAAATATCATCAAATTTGAAAAAATATTCATGAATTCAAACAGTGCCCATGAAATTTAAAAATATTCATGAGTTCAAAAAATATTAACAAATTCAATACTTTTTGTGAGTTAGAAATTCAATACCAGAATAAACACATAAATAAATATTCATGAGGACTAGAACAGAAGAAATATCATTACTAGTTTCGCAAAACAAAAAATATATAATTGTTAGTAGTGGCGCACCTTGGTTGTGGTGCGCCATTACTAGTTAAAACTATTAATGGCGCACTGTGCGCTGATGCGTCGTTAATAGTTTTGGAAAAATAAAAAAATAAAAAAAATTCCAGTAATGGCGCACCGTGTGTCTGGTGCACCATTAGTAATGAGGACACTAATGGCGCACCTGTATCTGGTGCGCCACTGCTATATAGCAGTGGCGCACCACATACATGGTGCGCCATTAATGTCCATATTGGCTATAGCCCTTTTCCTAGTAGTGAATATGGTTGAAGGCCATCTAAATAAGATAACTGCGGAAGCATCGAATATGAATGTAACACCCCGGTGTAATGATGCTACAGTAATCCTAGAGGTTAAGTTAATCTTTTTGCTAAACATGTGCCTGATTATTATTGTCTTATATTCTTTCAAATTCCACTTGAATTCAACTTCAAAATTTTGTGTGAAATCCAAAATACTCAAACATGAAAACTAAAATGTTCATCATGTGTAAAATATTCTCCTAATAATATTGATGGTGACCCAACATTTTTTGCAAAATGCCTCCGTGGCCTAAAATAGCTAAAGCAGAAAAGCTTTAAAAAAGGAAAAGGAAAAGGCCCTCCCCCTCAATTGGGCCGACTGGCCCAGCTCGCCATCGCGCCCCCCATGGGCCTCAGCCCACCTGGCAGCCCAACAGACCATGTGGCCCACTCCCCCTCCCCTGTCGCTCTCCCCTTCCCCTATTCAACCGACCGTGGGCGCGTGCCCGCGCGTCGCCGCCGAACCACCTCGCCGTCGACGAGGAGGATAAGGTTGACCCCTCCCCTCAACGCCTCGACCTCCTCCCCACCTACCTCCACTCCCCTGTCTCGCCTCCCAGGTCCACCCCTCTCTCCCCCCTCTCTGTCTCGGCCGCTCACCTCACCCGAGCGTCGTCGACGCCATGGCCGCGCCATAGCCACGGCCACCCTCTTCCCCGCACCGCGC